TTGGCAGATTATTTTTTTCAACGTTTCAGTAATACTCTTGCTTCTCTCAACAAATCTTTCTTTAACAAATGCTTGATATTGTTCTTCTCCAAAGGTTACAACATTCTTCACCGTGACAACAACGGAACTGTTCATCACGTCATTTGTGTGGACGGCAAATAGGTCTTCGCTCTCTTCTACAAAAGGATTCCCCATCGCTTGAAAATTGGAGACGACATTTGAGACATCTTTATAAAATTCTCTTTGAATGGATGGAGTTTGCTCATGGTGTAGCTGACTGCCTACATGTGTACTCATCTCGAATTCCCTAATTATTCGTGCAATTTCTGGACCTGCAATCATACATCTCCTTAAAGCTGAAAGGTTTTCGGTTAGTCCCACAGCACCACCTTCTCCCTTTACCACTGCATTAACTTGCTCGTGAGCATGATCTAATGCTATAGCTGAAAACTGTTTCTTCGTTTTATGCACCACAAACGAGCCCTTGGAGAACTGGTTAAAGACGTCAGGGTGTTTGAATGTAAGCTCCGACATATTACGGATATGGACAGAAAGCCATCTTGCATAATTAACATTGTCCAAAGCAAACATCCACGGGACAAGTTGCTTAATTGACTGGAAGTACAAGGAGAAATTAGCTTCTCTAAATGATCGCACTAGTTGTAAACAGAGTAATTCTAGTTCCAAAAGTCTGGTCCAATACAGAAACTGAGGATGATCCTTTGACATATCTTCTTTCCAAATAGGTTTTTTCAATTAGGTTATTCTGAATGCTAACACAAGTAAGGTAATAAATCTTAAAGAAACTTAATTGAATGTTCTTCATTGTTTCGATACGATTTATCATTGCACTATGGTGAAAGCCGGGAGGGCACATTGTTATACACTTTATATATATATATATATATATATATATATATATAAAAGTGCTGACTCAGCACTTTTCAGAATATTCCATGACCAATATTTGGGAAAGTATTGCCCAAAAGAAAAAGTTGTAATATAGTTTTTCTATCATCTTTAGCTGTTGTATAAGAATATACAGGGAAATTGCAGATTTCTCTGAACTTTATTTTTTTTTACTACCGATGACGTCATCGAACACGACATTCGCAGAACTCGTTTTAAATGTAAAATATGGGCTGGCCCTATATCAAAATTTTGTGTTACTAGGCATAGTAAGAATGTGAGAAAGTTTCATACTTGTATCATCAAAGTGAAGGGTTAGGTGTTTTTTCTGTCGTTAACAGCTGGACTATACTCTCGTTGTCTTAATCAGAAATTTTTTTGTTTAACAATTTTATGTTTGCAAGAAAACTTTTTTTTAAATGAAGAAATGATCTTCCGCACTTTGCTGGACAATTTAAGCAATCGTCTCAGGAACCTGAAAAAATCAGGTGACTCAACGGGATTCGAACCCATGACCTCTGCGGTGCCGGTGCAGTGCTCTGACCAACTGAGCTATGAAGTCACACAGTGGTGAGCAGGTCACCTGATTTTTTCAGGTTCCTGAGACGATTGCTTAAATTGTCCAGCAAAGTGCGAAGATCATTTCTTCATTTAATTTCAAACACTGCACTGCATAAAACATTCATACGACATTCCTTTCACGAGAAAACATGAGCCCAACAATATGCTCACCACTGTGTGACTTCATAGCTCAGTTGGTCAAAGCAACGTATCGGCACCGCAGAGGTCATGGGTTCGAATCCCGTTGAGTCCCCTGATTTTTTCAGGTTCCTGAGACGATTGCTTAAATTGTCCAGCAAAGTGCGAAGATCATTTCTTCATTTAATTTCAAACACCGCACTGCATAAAACATTCATAACACTTTTTTAAGCGCGTCTATAAGCATCGTATTGCTTGTTTTTATATAGAAAACAGCGGTATCCGTCCAGGTGCGTCCTACTTTTGACGTCACGCGAGATGGCAGCAAAATTCACACACACACACACTACAGCATTTCAAGGGCATTTTATGCGCATTACACTATACCATGAATAATATACCCATTTGCTCAGAAAAGTTTATATTTTAATCTTGACCCGTAAAAGCGCCTGCGAATTTTCATTGCATAAACACTTTAAGTGAGCATTTTAAATAATTGAAAGATTCTTTGATGAAGTCATTTCTTGATTTTTCAAAATCAGTCACGAGAGCATTGGCAATGTGGTGCTCTCAATGTGGTACACCAAAATTCAAAGGCATTGCATTCCTACAATAAATAAAAAACGAGCGTTTGTTGAAAAATATTGAATATGGTTGTTAGTGGTTACAGTTTTTGCAAAAAACGGCCAAGAAAGCACAAAAACTAACAAAATCTAGAGAGAGTGAAATTGAGCCAAACAGATTCTTGTATAAAAAGAGTACTTCAAGTAATGTTAAGATCTGTTACTTATCAGGTGTTGGTTGGTGATGATTATTGAAACGGCAAGTTGATCACTTGTGAAAAGGACGTTCCTGATGTTAAGACAACCCTAGTTATTCTAACACTTCCTTAAAAACCTTAATGCAATCGATTTAAGTTTGCAAATAATATGAATGAAATCCTGTGCGATGCAAAGTGCCGTTATCTTATTCAGCATTCACGTATGCACAAATTTATTATATATAACGTTGGAACTGTTTTTTTTTCGCTCTTTAATTTCGTTTTTTTGTTGTTCTTGTTGGAGTCTTTAATGGAAATCTTAAGCTTAAAGCAATGAAAAGTTTATTTCTTTCCTCTTTTAATATAAGCGTTTTTTAATAAAACTTTAACTGACAAGATTAAACATGTAATTTTTCGCTTTTGTGCATTCAGATCTCTATCTACTGTGCGATTACAAAAGCGTCAATACTTTAAATTGTAGAAAATGTTATCAGACACGTCAAAAGTTCATCATATGACAATAATGTCAGAATTTAAAGTGATAATTTAGAACTTGATAAAATATTTATTTGCCAACTCGCAAATTCCCCGAATTTAAATTTTTCGATGAAACTTGTCAACTTTCCACTGTCATTTAAGAAAAACTTTGGTGTTTTTGCATTTTTAAATAGCTAAAGCTGCCAGTTTTGAGATTTTTTTTACTTTGTTTGGTTACTGAAAAATGTTTGCAGTTTGCAACTTTTTACTTTATAGAACTTCCTTTCGGTGAAGCACATAAGCAGGTAGCACTTAAGTCATTGAAGTATAAAAATGTACTGATTTCCCAATAAGGAATGCTAGCCTGTACGTCCAAGCATTAGCGCTCAACAGCAAAAGTAATCATCTATGAAAAAATATAAAGAGCAAAATCTGCTGTTGCAACAACCAAATGTATGGCTACAAAACAACTCTGAATAAAATTTATTGTTTGATATATGTATTCATCTCTTTCTATCGTTTCTGAATCTTCTTTATAACGCTACGACTAAACATACCATGCGCGTAGCGCTTTGTCAGCAAACGTGATGGTGGGCAGGTTTTCTTTACATAATGTTTTCTTTTAGAATTCTCAAAAAAATCTTATCAATGTCGATGAGAAGATTTCATTATGTTTGTGGATTAATTTCATAAAAGCGACGCTGCACACAAAGTTTTATCTTGGAGGTTAGAGTGAGATTAAAGTTAAGCAATCACAGCAAGAAATTCAATCGAAATAAAAACGAGGATCTTACCTACATTAAAAGAAACATAACCCATAAATACTACTCTAGTACTTAAATGCTTTGGATGGTAAAAAAACACGCATTTTTTGTAACAAATTAAGTATGCCAATTTTACTTTGCTGGTACCGGTTGTACGAAAGGCGTTTAATTAATAATCACTGTTTAAACCACCCTCCAGCGTATAAATTTTAAACGCTTGAAAATTTGCGTTGTACGAATTCCGTTTAACTCCATCCACCGGTTAAATTTTGCCTATCCACCGAGTAAAATGAAACGGTCTAATGAGACCTTGTAAGTCGCTAAACAGCGGATAAAGCGTTGTTGTCTTGTAGTTTTTTTTTCTCATATGGCTTTCAGATTACATGTCATTAATTTCTACGCTCTCCAAAAAGTATATCGACCGGCTGAGAGAATTTATAAACGTGAAATACGATGTGAAATAGACGACCGGCGTTTCAACGTACTACAGTGACAACGAGTAACGAGTTACATATGAACGCTATCGCTTCAGTCAAAAAACTACTAGTTCTACATAACATGTCTTGCCAAAACCATGCCCAACCGAAAAGAGTAGAGCAAAAACATAGGCGGCGCAACAAATCACTTAGGTAACTAAATTGTATAAACAAACGATAACTCGCCCCATTTCATCGTAACAGATCGTGCGCTGCAAACTTTGTATTAATTGATTACATATATACATATTTACCAAAGGTAGGCAACTATTATCGCAGTTACGAACACATACCTTTATATAAAGTAATAATACGTAAAAAACAATACCGATTCATGTTTGTTTTATTTAAGTAATAATACGTAAAAAACAATACCGATTCATGTTCGTCTTGTAAGACTGGTATGAAACTTTGAATGGTATTCTGTATTTAATATGAAGATATAATGTCTTTTCGGGAGTTTGCACTATGTTGTATCAAAAACGAAGAAAGTCCACTAAATCGCAGTCAGCCATCATCTGGAACAAAATAAGCCTTCATAACACTATAATTTTTTGCATACGAAAGCTTTCAGCAAGTAATCAAATTTAATGAATTTAATAAATATACTAAAAGTATCTTTCTCAAGTTTTCCCGCTTAGATGCCTGTAGTGATCAAATAGCAAAAACCGGTTGTTCTTGTTTCCCTTCTTCCTTAAATTTGAGCTTATCCTGCCGATATTTAAACGCTAAGCTAAACGGCGTTTCTTGCAACGCAATTTTAACCATTGCTTAACAATCCAGCGGATAAGGAATTTATATGGTTTATAGCGGCTAAACGTCGTTCAGTTTAAACGCTTTTCGTACAACCGGCCCAGAGCGATTAAAAAATATTCCATCAATACTTAAAAGATTAACAAAGTTTTATTTACACAGGGACAGGAATGGCAATACCTTACTTCATGCTGCAACCTCTTCAAATTCCTTGGCTATGGTAAATCTTCTCCTTGACATTGAACCAGGCTTGCTGATTATTGCAAATGATGAGAGCAAGACCCCTATTGTAAATGCAGTGTTCAGTACAAATGTTGATGTCTTAAAAATTTTACTGGAGCATAAATCAGTTCTTTTTGGAGTAAAAGACCTAGTGCATTTGTTGATGTGTGCTAAAGAAAAAACTACATTTACGAACTCAATTGTGGACTTCGCTTTTAAATATTATGGATCGACAGGACTAGTTCGTGTAAGATATATTTATATAGAGAATTTTAATCAAATATCGACTGCCGGAAAATCGTGTTTAATCATTTATTTCATCACTACCCTCTTGTTTTTATGAAAAGCCGTATTTTAAACGATGTAAGCACGTAAGTTCAACAATGACAAGAGTACCAAGCACATTTTCCTTCAAAAGAATTCTTTCAAATTCAGTATAGTAGTTAAAAATGAGGATCCTGTGGCATTTCGACCAAAAGTAATTATTATTATTTTAAGAAACGGATTTCCAATATTACAAAATGCAATGAACTTGAGAACTTACAAAGGTATTTCAAACAAATTTTTTCGGTAAATAATTTGTCCTTTATTTTTAGTGCAAAGTTTCCACGGGAACTTTGTAGTATCGTGTTGAGTGGCGAAAATTCACACGAGTCAGTCAGTCAGTGAGTCAGTCAGTGAGTCACTTAGTCAGTGAGTCAGTCAGTGAGTGAGTCATTCAGTCATTCAGTGAGTCACTCAGTCAGTCAGTGAGTCAGTCAGTCAGTCAGTGAGTCACTTAGTCCGTCAGTGAGTCAGTGAATCAGTGAGTCAGTGAGTCAGTCAGTCAGTGAGTCAGTCAGTGAGTCAGTCAGTCAGTGAGTCACTCAGTCAGTGAGTGAGTCAGTCAGTCAGTCAGTGAGTCATTCAGTCAGTCAGTCAGTCAGTCAGTCAGTCAGTAAGTCAGTCAGTCAGTCATAGTGTAAACTTTCCGGGGGGTGTCTAGCAACATTGCTCATTTCATGTTTAATGATTTTTAGAGATTTGTTATCAGTTTTTCAGCGATTATTAAAAGAGTACTAAGTACCAACTTCAACTCACATTAGCTAAGACAGTTATTTAATTGTTTCATTCTAAACTAACAATTTATATCAGTCAGGCAGATAAGTGAAGAAAATTGAGTAAAAACTTACCATACCTAGGGGCAATTTAATTTTATGCTAGAATTGTAGTGAAACACCTTTAAAAACTATCTGAATAAGTCGGCGAGCAAAAATGTTTTTGAGAAGGCCGACTAATAACTTTTACCGACTGGTTTGTTTTGAGAAGCGCCATGATTTTCGAATAATTTAGCCGGAAGAAGTGAGACTTGGCTATTTTGATCAGCGGCACTTCTGCATACTTCATATAAACTACTTAAAAATTATATGTTCGCCTGGCATGTTGCATTAGTTGCATGTATTGTCTGACGAATCATGTCTAGAAAACGAAAAAATACACCGTTTGAAGTTGATGTGAGTATTTCATCGTCAAAAGCACAAAAAAACTCTACATCAAATAAAACATTTATCGGGTGCATTCTTCAGTGCAGTGAAAAGAGTCAACGTGAATCGATTATTACGTTCAATGACACGTCCAAAAAATCTATCTACAAAGCTGCAAAGAAACGTGAGGATAAGAGAGTTATTGCATTAATCGATCCTTTTGAGGAAGATATTCTCTCGCCAGAGTACGGATATCATCAAAAATGTTATAAAAATATACTCACGGCAAGTTAAAAGTCAAAAAGCCTATACTTGAGCGACAGCGAGAGTCAACAAAAAAACAGATCGAAGAGGTATGATTCGCGAATGTCTCTTTATCAGTAAGACGCTAATTATAACTAAAACTTACAGTTGATTAAGTAACTTATGTAAATATATGTAGGTAAGATATTGGCAGATCACGAGTGTCGTGTGTTTGGAAGAAAAAAAATAGCAAAAGGTGGAAGTGGTTATAAACAATTGGAAAAATGCGAGATTGAGAATGGTGCACAATGTTTGCAATTCGATTTTCCAGATTTGCAAACAGAGATAGGAAATTCAGAATGGCAGACGATATTAGCAAAGGAATATTTTTACCACAGATCGTGTTACAGGGAAATCTGCAAAAAGCGCAAGACAACACCAGTGGCTTCCAGCAATGCTGAAACCGTTTTTCATGAGGCGACAAAACATCAGCGAATTGTTTACAATGTCCATAAAAGAGTTCACTCTTTGAATTTCCAGGGTGTGGCATTGCCAAATGGTTTGATTGCTCATACTTTTGGTCCAGTTGGTATGCTTATATTATTTGAATTGAAATATTATTGTACACACTATATTGTACAAGCAAAAACAGTCTATAATTCAGGCAAATACTTTCTATATTACAGAAGGAAAAAAACATGATGCTGGTATGTTGGCTGACACAAACTTCCTTCAAGACATGGAACAAAATGCTTTTTCTGTGGATGGGACACCATTTTGCATATATGGAGATCCCGCTTATCCACAGAGGATTCATCTACAAGCTGCTTTTCGGCATGGGGTAATCACAGACAGAATGAAAGAATTCAACAGGCAAATGAGTTCAGTTAGAGTGTCTGTGGAATGGTTATTTGGAGATGTGATCAACTCATTCCGGTTCATGGACTTCAAAAAAAACCTCAAAATAGGTCTAAGTAGTGTTGGGAAAGCATATATTGTCTGTGCATTGTTAAGAAATTCACTCACTTGCATGTATGGAAATATAACATCCAAGTTTTTTCAGTTAGATCCTCCAACCTTGGAGAATTACTTTATAACTAATTAATGAATGCCAAAATGACTCATTATTAAACACACTAGCAGTTAGCAAGTGTGTACCATGTTATGTAAATACTGACAAATGTAAGTGAGAAATTTATTATAGTTCAAATAACAAAACATGAAAAGTTCATAGTTACACAGATTGATAAAACGCAAAGTTAAGAATTCTTTCCTTGAAAGTGACAACACAATCTTACTTGGTTGTGAACCTCTGAATAATGTCAAGAAATGCTGTTGACAATTGCTGTTGTTGCTAAGAAGTAAAGCTTGGCTCTCCATCATTTTTAGATTTTGTTGTTGCATCATTTTTAAGACTTATGTTTGTTGTGTTGCTGCTTGGGTACTCAATTGATTTTGTATTTCTTGCTCATTTCGCTTTATTTCTAGTTCTGCACGACGGATTTCAATTTTCTTGCTTGATCTTTCTCTCAAATATTCGACTAATTCACGATTTCCGCGGCGTACTTTCTTAAGCTTAACATCTTTCGCCCATTCGTTCCAAGGCTGTCATCCTTATATCAATAGCATTTGCATTTTCCTTTTTCTTTTGAACTGATGTTACCTCAAGGAAGCTGTCCTCTTTTTGGCATAACTCTTCAATCAAACTTTCTTCTCCGACAGCTCGTCGACATCAATACCACTTGCCCTTTCTTCTTCGCGCATCTTCTGCTTGAACTTAGCTTTTAAAAGACTCCACCGGTCTCGAACACTTCTCTTGTCTTTTAAAGTAAAGACGGGCGCTTCGGTTTTATTTAAGTTTTCGACAATAGAATCCCATACTAATCCCCGATTGGGGCTTCCCTTTTTGTATTGAAACAGATCACTAACCATCATTTCTCTCATCAACAATAAATCGTGCTCATCTGTCCACTCCATTTTCTTTGAATTGTCAGCCTTATTAATTTTAGAGAGGTTTTAGAGGCAACCTTCAAACAAGTATTTTCAAGTCGGCGCGGAGGCCCGACGGGGTAAACAAAATACATAAAACGCATAACGGAAATAAAAGCAACTTCCTCTTGCCGTTGCCGTCCAGTAAAACGTAGTTACTTAAGCTCTCTAGTGTCACCACCGTCACGCATGAAACAAAAAACGAAAAAGTCTTAACCTCTTCTAACAGAGATACCTTCGTACGTTCAGGTGAAGCGTAAAAACACTGACGCCTCGACTAGCATTCAGCTATGCATGCACACAGACGAAGTAAAACTCTCATACATTTTTGATACTCTTTGGATCATCGCCAGAACTCAGGTCAATCAAAATAATTTCGAGGTGCATGTACCTAGTTGGACAAGCTTTAATTATTTGTTGTGCGACAACGACAGCAACAGCTACCATAAAATTGGATACCTGCCGTCGCTTAAAAAATCTCCAACGTCCCATGATACTGTTCTGGAACTCCTCAGTCAATCAAAGGTGAAGGCAGAAAAACTTGGTTTGATTGAAAAAGATGTGGTGCTAGATATGTCAATATACGCTACAACTGTGGAAGTTGTGATGAATCCAAGGTACATAGATCTTAAGCAGTTCGTTGTTTTGCGGCTTGGCGGGTTTCATACAATGTGTATATTCATTGCTGTTATCGGAAAGAGGTTTGCTGATGCTGGTCTTCGCGACATCGTAATCGAAGCAAATCTTCTTGGTGACGAAGCTGCTACTCTCGGTAAGATCCTCTATGTTCTCTTTGTGTTTCACAATTTTTTTACAATCGCTTCTGAAGATCTCATCATGTCCATAGTTTTCTTGGGGGAGAGGTTCACAACCTATGCCGATCTGCGTCGCTTGCTAGGGCCCCCTTGTGTTGGCGGTATTGCACAAGATTCGTCGGCCATTGCTCACATGGTAACGTTCCTTCGCTGCAAACTCAATGAAAGTGCAAATAGGAAATGACTGTTCATTCACGCAATCTTGCCGAAAACTGGACTTGTTCATCAACTGATTCAAATTTTACGACCTAAATATTTGTTGAACATCGTTGCATTTTACTACTCGGTGCCTTATTATTTAATTAGGTAGAATTTAGCGCTAAAAATATCGCAAACAAAGCATTTATTTCTTCTGAACATATTTAATTTCACATATTTCACAATACTTTCAAATATGATTATAATTACATAATTAATCAGTGTGTGAATTAACAGTGTGCAACTTTCAACTTAGTTTGGCCAAAATATAAAAATGCACTTAATTTTTCAAACCATATTCTAAAAAGTAACTGGCATGAATTGATTACTAGCATGCCAATTGGCCTTGCTTGTGATGTGACATCAATATGATGTTTTATTTTACTATTGCATCATTTTACCTTAATTTGTTTTAATCTATTGATTATTTTTTTTCTAATTCACACACTGCAGTGAATGAAACATGTGAATTTTTGTGAATTGAACATTTATTAACATTACAAATTGAAATGTTTATACATACATATGTACAAATATATTATTTACTAATTTTTTCTTAATATTCATGTATATTATTATTGTGAAAACATTATAATGATATAAATATCATATAAAATGAGGCAATTTTTACATTTATTCAATAAAAAAGAATTTATTAATTTAAAATAACAACACGTAACAGTTAACATGTAATCTTTAGTGTTCAATTATCTAATTTCTTAGTAATTTCAGACAAGTGTTTAAGATGGACATAGTTACAACATGATGGCTGTGTTGAAACTGCTGTTGTTAGGTAACCATTGACTTTATCAACTCCTCTTGCTGTTTCAATTGATTCTTCATAACATTTCATTATTTTTCTCTTAATTCCCTTTCTTGTTCTTTTTCTTTCTTCTTTGTCTCAATTGAGGTCTTCATTAGTTCCATCATATCATATTTTCGTCTTCTTTTTCTCTCTGGTGTAGCTAGTTCTTCTTTCCCTTCATTTCGCCTTCTTGTTTTTCGAAATTCTCCAGAGTTTTTCTTCACATCTCTTCAGAACTTCTCTTTTCCTTGTTTTCTTTTTCTTTTTTGCTTCCTAGGGTCATTTCACATTCATTCATTCTCCCAAATATTTGCTCTACTCCTCTCAGTATACTCCACATCTATTCCACTTGCTCTTTCTTCCATTGACTCTTTTTGCTTAAATTCTTTAACAATCTTCTCAAACCGCTCCCTCACAAGCTTCTCATTGCAAACATTTCTTTTCATTAACTTTTCATAGCAAAAACATCATTCAAGGCCTTCGTTGTGATAGAAAACAAAGAACTATTTAGAAATATTTTATCCTTTAAATTTTGGCTTATTAAAAGAAAATATAACTACAGCCAAATAATATCTCAGTCAAACAAAAACAATCGACACAGAGTTATAACATGTTCTCTAATAAAATTTTACTCTTCACGGAGTGTCTGGTGTCAGTTTTGTATTTTTTGAATATTTTACCCTATAACATACTAATGTTTATGTATAGATGCATATATTTACTGCTGCCGCGTATTAGAGAGGCAGTCAACCATTCTTTTTGTCTCGCAGATACATGAAATTTTCGTTGTTTTATTTTTACATGGAAATTAGACATATGCTCAAAATACACGCACTAAGATAAAGCATGGATGGTTTAACATACTATTTTGACATAATTTCACACGGAAAGATAAAAAATACAATCTTACTTGGCTTTTAAAAAGTTCGTAGTCGCGACAACGAGTTTTTTAAAAATCTTTGTCCTCAGATTGATGACGGCTACGTGTTTGTGTTGTCACAACAATTTTTTCACGCCATAATAACGTAATTCGTACTCGTAGTCGTAGTCGTACTGTTTGCTAAAGCTCTCTATTATGTATCCGCTAGGTAAGTGCGTATACAAATTAACGTTTATTTACGCAATCTTGGACCAAGTTGTAGCTTTTTGTCAAAAAACAAATTGCTTAGAATTTGATAAGCCCTTCTCGAAATGAATTTCAGTTTAGCATTTTTGGAAACACCAAGTCTCTATACTAAGTTTTCTTGAAGCTAATTTTATTTGCCATGACTAGGAACGTTTTTACTAAGAAACTTTGCACTATCCTTGCATCTCTAGTTAATATTTTCTAACTCTTTATTCTCTGAACAGCGTCAATATATTCATTGAAATGCGTAACTATTTTGATTGTTTGCAAAAATAGCAAAACACTGATAACAGAAATTTACGATGGTAATATTAATAAAGCATTTATGTCATAGATCTTCTATTTAGCTCGCTAAATCACTTCTAGATTGCTAGACTGAAAACCTTTCATTTGGTGTTAAACAATTTTTGCTTTCTGAAACTTTGAGCTATTCTTGGATCCCTATTTTATTATATTGAAAGGTGGAGAAAAACCTTTTCTCTGTAAGAAATATCAGTCAATACGAGGCCTATTTAGTCGTGATTGTACTTTTTCAAATATCCATTCATAAATACAACGATAGTACGTTGTAGAAATTGTCTCACCTTTTTGTGGTTTAATAAATGACTAAATATTTGATTTTATGTGATGTTGTAAAGTTTATGCGTAAACAGCCTCTTTTGTAAGAATTTATAATCACAGTAACATTCAAATTATTTTACTCCATTTAGCCTATTTTTTTATCTAAATCATAACAGATTTTGTCAGAGATAACATCAAGTGACGGACGTTTGCTTTCTCAGTTCAACGAAGAGTCAGTTGCTCACATTTTGGACAAATACATTAATTATCCTGAATACGATTTCTCTCTCTTTAAATGTAAGTATTAGTATAGTGTATTACCAGTAACATAGCTATAGAAAATTGGCTGGTCCTACTTTGTGGCAAGAGAATATTGCTGGTTGCCATAAATGACAGATTTATGAGCAGTGACGTAGCTAGATGTCGGACCAAACATTTTTTAAACTAATGTTTTTTCAACCCACTAAAATTTCAATATTGTGTGCAATGTTAACAGATATTAGCGAAAACAAAATCTATTTCTATTGCTCATTTGCATTTTGAAGTATGTACTTCATATTACTTACACAATATTACGTTTCTGCCCGACATCTTCCCTAATCATTGCCTAAAAGCACATGGAACGGCGTTCGCTTGCTTTTGGTCGTGCTCTACTTAGGCCAGCACGACCAAATTATATATTCCAAGAGCTGGTTGGCTGGAAAACCTCACAGCCTGTTAAAATGGGTATAGTCAGCCTTAGGTTGGTCATGCTCTGATCAGGCGAAAACGACCAAAACATAAATTGCTAATAATATATAAGGCTGCATTGCGTCGTACGCATACTCAATCCCTGAATATTTTTCTTTGGTCGTGCTAAAGTTGCACGAGTATTTCAAATATTGTCGAGTTATTCATCGTTTTACTGTGTTATTGGATTTATTTTTGTGTGTGAACATGGAAATCAATCAAGGACAGTCAAACGTCGCGTCTTAATTAAGCTCAAAGAGTCAGGATATCGTTTCTGAGCTTTTACGAAGGATTATCAGTTCACGCAACGCTATAGAGTAGAAATATTTTGTTTGTATGCTACGACCAACCCCTACGCTCACACTAAAACGAGAGATAAGTGGTTCCGACAGTCTTTGTGAGAAAGGAAAGTCCACTCAAATTAATTGTGTCAACATGCATATTTTACTGGGCGATTCACGCACTACATAACATAACATGACAATTTACAACATATATTTTGAGGAAGAGGCTTCACAATTCAATCAAATGATTGAAATTGAAGGTCAAAATCCCATTGAATCAATTTGATGCTTTATGTCCTTTTGGCTGGTAGTATTAATGCAACCATGTTGGAAACGCTCTGTTTTGATATTTAGTAATTTTATTGTATGTATGTTAAGTTATCGATTTAAATTGAAGTAACATTGCAGAGCGGACAACGAAACGGCTGGAGACTCGCCCAAAAACAAACGATTCTTGTTATCTGTTTTGACTGTGCTGAAAATTGTAATGAGAGGGAAAGATTGAGGTGTAGAACATGACCGTAGAAACGAAGTCATCTCTAATAAAAAAAAACAACTAAATATCTCTATCTTGGTGATTAATATTTGTCCTTTTAATAATAATCAACTACTAATTCTTGACAGGAAAATTAGGTTTATTAGAGATTTACATGATAAACAGTCGGCACTGCATAATTTAAATATTTAATAAAATTTCACAGGCAATGACATTATTTACACAGCAAAAATTTTTCTTATTATTTTAAGAAAAAATGGACTTATTATACGAAAATTTTCTTAAAATAAGTCCGAATTTTCTTGGGAGAATAATAAAAGATTTTCTTACAAATTTTCTTACAAATTTTCTTAAGCAATTTTTTTCTTGTTAAAATTCCTGTTATTAAACAGGTACAAGATTTTGGAACAGTTGGTGTAAGCATTGAGCAACAAAAAACACAGGTTAACATAATTATTAAATGTTTTGAATAAAATTACAAATAATTGTTATGATGTTGATTGTTGAATCCACCTAGCTACTAAGCACATCATTTGCAAATGCTTGGAAGAAAATATTCTAGATCAATAAAATTTTTTCAGATTAAGAAATTTCCAATTAGTAGAAAAAGTATAAAAATGTTTTTTAATAAAAACATATGTGACTTGATTTCTATTGACAAGTGGAAATAGAGTGAAGAACATAATTTACACAAAATAATTAGAGCACTTACTCTACTTTTTTCTTGATATCATCTGATTAGTCTTGTATTCGGCAGCTTCTACCATATCATCAGCTGTTGTGTTTAATCTATTAAGTGACGTTGTTGTCAGATTTTGTAGTTGTACCTGGGTTTTGGGTGGCTGTCGTGTTTAATGCTGCGGATAGGTTTACCAAAGTCAGTGTTTTTAAGGCAACATTTTGAATCTAATCCAGTGATTACTTTGATTGTCATCGATAGAATTACCAAAATCTGGTAAAAAAGAACAGGACATATGTTGTCCTTTGTAAATTTAAACAACAATTTGTTAAAGAAGAATAAAACAACCCGGAAATTAAAGCCTAGTATCAATACTAGTATAAAAAGTCAAAGTAAGTAAAACAATAAGAACCAAACATACCATACAGTGGACATTACGTAATTTTTTACAAGCCTCTTTTACCAGAATTGTCATCATCTAAGCTTTTTTTTATTTTCAGTTATTTAATAGCATTGACTATTTATCATAAGAAAGAAAGTAACTCACACACGCTAATTAATGCACTTTTGGTGGTTTCTACTTAGGAATTTCAACAAATATAAATCCTTAATATAATTATTAAAGCCCAGCAAAGTGCTTTTAAAACAGCCATTTAATACAAAAATAACATATGAAAAGAAATATTTATTTAGAAGCGTAAAGTTTCGTCTTGACTCTTAAGACATTTTCAGACAGTATTAAATTACAAGTATAGAGGGTTATATATAATAGCTATTTACATAATATTAATTAGATGGTGGGATGGAAACGTGAAAGTAATTATGGGATAAGATGATATGACATGGATAAGTAGAAATCACGAAAGAAACAAAAACACACACAATTATTATATATATATACAAAGTGTATAACAATGTGCCCTCCGGCTATCACCATAGTAAAATGGTGACTCCTGCACTTGGGACACAGGACGTACGGTTACACATTGTATGGATTGGATTGTAGAGTCACCAGAGCGCTCAAACCTATAAAGGTGAGCTTTGCATGAGCTTTATGAGACTCTCTACGCAATCCGAGAGCGCTCAAACTGCGCAAGCGCAGCGAGCATAATATATAATATATAAGTTTGAAAATTTGTAATCCAGGCATTTAATACATAAAAGATAAAAGTTTCTCCGGATTTTAAGTGATTTTTATTGAGCTTTCGACTCGTTGCTTCGAGCCTTCATCAGAATGAGGATATCCAGAACAGATGACGGTACACTAAACACACAAGTATACCGCAAAACCACCCACACAGACCAAATACTCGATTTCAACAGCACTCATCCAACACAACACAAAATAAGCTGCATTCGAACACTTTTCAACAGGATAAACACTCATTGTAACACGGAAGAAGCCAAAAAAACAGAACGCAACTACATATACTCCACATTTATTAAAAACAATTACCCAATTACTACTTTATAAACAAAACTATATACAAAATACAAAACAAAACACAAACCGACAAAAGCAACAAAAAACCGGACGAAACAGTAAAAATCGTCACATTACCATACATAAACGGAACATCAGAAATGACTGCCAGACTTCTTCGACCATTCAATATTAACGGGGCAAATATCAATATATTCACATGTTTTAATCTTTGTTATTCCATAATTACAATTGATTTAAATAGAAACGAAAAAGTTAGAACATACGTATATGATCATCCCCCCTTTCCAATTCTCGAGCTTGCGCGGTCTCGGCTTATTTTGGCATTTACTTATTTAATTAACATGGCAGTCGAGAAATTGTCATTCGTCTCAAGCAAAAATCTACACGAAAAAAGGTTTTTTATATATTTTCCGGGAATTTCTGTAAGAAAAAGAGAAATTCTGCCTCAATAATTTAAATATTTAGAAAATTTTTTATTAATAAATGAACATTCATATATGTTTGTAAATGATGATCGTCCAGGTTAATAAACGTCAGTCAACAACAACAAAAACAGTCCTTCTCAGGACTTTATTAACCTGGACGATCATCATTTACAAACATATAACGATAATCCCGGGTTCAAACCATTTGCTTTATTATGAACATTCATATCATGGTTTTGTTATATGTCTGACATTGGATCCTCATTTTCTATAGCTATTACTTTCACATCCATATTTATGAAGATTCTGATGAAAGGAAATAAATTGGTGATTAGTGTTAAGATCAAGTCTTCCAGATGCGTGTTAGCGACTTAATAAATAACTTTCTTTATTAGAATGTAGCAGTCGTATTTTTTTCTTAAACCATTCTTGTCTTTCATTTTTACAAAGCAATACTAAATAAAATATTTGTAAATGGTTTATGTAAGTTTTTAAAAGGGAATACTAATGAGTTCACATCAAAAATTTCAGTGATAAATTAAACTAGGAAACATAGATTACAACACTGAATGCTAGAATAAAAATTTAAATTATTTACAGCTGCAGAAAATAATGTCCCGGACTTCGAATTCTTTATGAAGAACAGAAAATACGAAAAAATTTTTGGTCATCCTTTGGTCGAAGCATTTATCCAGACAACTCTGCAGTCCAATAGTGCAAAAACTGCTTACTATTTTCTGGCATCGGTTAATTTGATATTTTTCCTTCTACTCACCACATTTGTTGGATTGTTTTTACAAGGTAACAATTTATACATTATCTCCACCCCTGAACTATAATAGATGGAAGGCTACCTGTAATAAAAAAGCCTAATAAGTTTTTGAAGCCAAATTTGACCTGCAGACACGTGTGTCTGGAGGATATATACGCGTATTACACGTAAACGCGGGATTTGTTAATGATACATGTGTATAATTTGATACTTTTTTTAATTGGTTTAAAGACAGAGTAATCGTGGGAAAGCTTATTGTGGAATTAAAGGTGATGGGGGTTTACCTTTATTTAGTCAATTATGATGCTTCTCATCCAATACGTATTTTGAAATGGAAAAATCAAGTGGGAAAACTTTGAGAAAAAATGACATCTTTCATTTTATTTAACTTAATTACATGTAGTTTTATTTGATGCCAGATTGTTAGAGCACTTTCCAAGCATCAGGGTACTGACGATCTCCATACTTGATTCTATGTTCCAAAAATATCAAAACCTTTTGGTGTGAAATAGGATTTTCAACTAATTTGTGTTTAGTTTCTTTTTGCCTCATAAGACAAATCACGACAATTAACTGTTTTACTTGCTTATTTGTCATGTTATGTAAATAACAAATGTTACTTTGCGAAGATTTTACAAAAGGACAATGGCAAGGTAATTGTAGTGTTTCAAAATACTTTATCGTGTATTAATTAATTAGGGCTCTTCGCTTCTATGTACATTTATATGGTTTGGGGGTTCTGTGGCTTACGAGTCAGTTATTATCATTGTCAGCGGTCTTCTGTCGTGGCACACGCAATGTTTGTTAATTAGGTTATGTTTATCGTTTATTAAAGCCTAACTTCAGGTCAATACGTAGTTAATCCTTCACTATATTCACTATGGGTTAAGGTTGAAGTCTTAGCACCATTTATTTCTTGTTATTTCAGACCATTAAGGCTAGTAGCTTGCTTTAAGCATTGATTTCGTATGGGAACATCGTTTTCATTTGCGCCTTGAAATATTGACCCTAAAATATTTTTGCTTTCAGTATTTTGTTGAAACTTTCTCATTACCGACGAGTTTCCAATAACTTCGACCTTAATCTTCTATTAAACAGTAAACTGAAGTTGCAATAGCTTATGTGTTGGGATTTATTGATCATGCGGGAGTTTCATGTTGATCGCTTGTAATTGGCAATCAAAATCAATCCGCGTTGCTTATTCAGACTCATATGAGAACACCTCGGCCTGTGATTGGTTTGCATGCAACCCCGCACCAAGGATGAAGGTTAATATATTTGGCAATAATTAGGCAATTATTTTGCACGATGACAGTTGCTGTTATTGCAGTCTCAAATTTACCAACGTTCTTCGAGCATATTTGGAAAAACTTGGCACGCTTTTGGCAATTTAACAATCCAGCGTATAAATGAGTATACTAAAAAGCGTGATTATTAAAATATTTTTTTTCATTTTTTCCTTTTTCATGACCCATGTAAAAAAAGAGAACAAGTTGTGAATGATTATCATTTAGATTACTTACAGTCTTAGACATATTTTTTCTCAATTTTGCTGCAAGTTAATTAAATTAGTACAGGAAAATTTCTAATCTTATTCCATAAAAGTCAATGCAAAACTATTCGAATTTGGAAAGTTTTAACTGTGGCTTGAGCCTCTTGCCATTGCGTGGATACACGCCTGAGTTAATGATTACAACTAAAGGGAACTCTAGACAATTAAATCGTTAACAAACCAAAGCTTTTACGATTTTTAAAAGATTAATATGCTTTCTATCAAGTCAATGTAAAAGGTTACTTTTAAATAAAAGTCCTAAAATTTAATGGATACATTAACAAGAAAGATTCAAAGGTAGACTAATGAACGCTTACATCGATTCGTATACTAACTATACTAATCGTATCTACTTACAAAAATTAGCAAATATTATGTCACACAGACGTAATTTAAATTCAGGGGGTCTTTTGAATTAGTTGCCTCTCTGCTAAATGTTCCTTCTGGGGCCTAGATGTGTAGCAAACATCAAATAAAAGATTGGTTTTAACAACATGATATTGCAAAAGTGTTAAGCGCCTTTGTACTTCTTCAATAGCTGCACGCGAATAACTTCCGGGTAGTATGCCCAATTTTTTTCACAATTCAAGAATCATAATAGTACTAAAATTTTATAAGAAAATGATATAAAGCTGCACAGTATGTATTGTTCCAAAAACTTTATATACAGCATCGAATTACATCCATGTAGAAAGTAAATTGTATTTTTAGGAGTTCGAGATATGAAGTCGCCTGGGATGATTACTTTAGCATCCATAATATTTCTTTTCTGTGTAATCAACTTGGCAAAAGAAGTATTACAGGTATAAAAATACAGTCTTAGTTTCATATTTTTTTAAAATGCAAACTTTCGGCAGTCTACACCTTTTTGCCCCACTTGCGTGGATCTAAAGGAAAAGAGCATGGACTAGTGGACTAATTACGGGGCCTGTAAGCAAAGACAAAGCTGTTTGACTTTAAGTCGGATAACTATTCCTTCCACTAAGTTTAGTTTCTTGATGACATATGCGTTCATTACGTTACTTTGCCTTTGCTTTTCCCAGCTTGTTTTTGTAAATCGTGGTAATACCAATAAGTATTAAATTTAACGTTCAAACTGGGCAAACCCACTTCTTGGAAGCTCCGTAGATCGTACAGTTTTCAACAGCATAAATGGTCTAACTTAAAAACATTTAACTAGTCGGAATAGAAAAAACAAAAAACCAATTATGTCTAGATAAAACGGGCCTCTCGATTGCCCCGGCCTATAGGCTTCCGCCTACTTAGCCTGCTGAGTAATCCAGCACTGCCGGGGATAATGAGAGAGATTGTTAATAACATTGTAATTAAACTACGACTAAACCATATAAGGCTCCCTTACCGCATTGAAATCCTACTTCCACCATTACGAAAGACATTCATTCATGTTGGGAACTGCACCAAAAACGATTTCGAAAACTTTTGAGTAATTGCAAGCACAAGTATAAAACAGATAAAAATAAAATTTATTAATAAGAATAAATATTCTAAGAACATTAAGCGTTATCGTTTTGTCTGCTTTAGTTAATTAAACAATGACTGTTTTTTATAAAAGTTCTGTATTTCCTATTATGAACCCACGAAAAGCTCAAAAATTTGTGAATCTTTATAAGTAACTATATCTTACTTGAAAACCATGAAATTTAGAAATCAGCACAACAACAGACATAGCAACCCCACTACCCTTAATAGCAATGAAAAGTGTATTATCATACGAAAAAATATCATCTTTAATTAACAACATTATCTATAAAGTGAATAGTTTGTATTTGGGAGCATCGTTACATATTTATCGACGTATACATCGGCCAACTTGGTGCATTTCTAAAAAGGGCTGTTTGTGCTGTTACGTATAACGTTTTGACATTGTTTTCGGTAGTCACATTCACCGTTTGATCTATTAGCTAAAGCTTGTCCACCCATATTTAATGCGATTCATTTTTCGGTGAACATCAAGGTAAGCTTTATGCATGTGCTTAAAAACTGACAAATGTTCAGTTATATAATCAACTGGCATTTTCACTTGATTTTTTATTTATTTCTCATTTTATCATATCTTTTGTCTAGATTTGCAATGACCGAAAGCTTTACTTCCTTAGGGATGGCATACGAAACGCAATGGAATTGGCTTTGTACATTTGCACAATCATATTTGTTCTACCTCTTCATAGATTTAAATATACTTATCAAATTGGAGCTGGTGGAATTTCAGTCTTTCTAGCATGGATCAACTTCATCTGGTTTTTAAAGAATGCACCAGTGTTTGGAACTTATGTTATCTTAATAAAAAGAGTATTTCAGTCACTGTTGAAGGTGAGCATGCGTAATATTTTTTATTTTTCCTGAATGACGGGATTTTTTATTGAGTTCTATAATAACCGGAGCAGCTATCACAATTATGGCTTTAGATATCGGCTAATGGCAAAAAAAATGGCTGATTTATTCTTCTGCCGCTGAGATTTACCGAGATTGACTGTTTTTCTGAAAATTTCACAATTTTTCACTCCCCCCAGAAGAAAGGTCGAGGAAAACGTTTATTTGTATGTAGCATTTGGCAAAAAATTTGCGATGACAATCAAGATAAAAATATAAAGATCATGACATAGAGTCAACCGTGGATGCCAGGTTTCGGCTTTTGCTAAATATGAATGAAAACGTGCGACGAATTACTTAGTCAAAAATACATGTTTCGTCAATGCTCGATTAAGCTTTACAGGGTATACAAAGAAAAAGTAAATAATAGTTTATCCCTACGGTTCACGAGAGAAATGTTAGCTCATTCATTATTTTATCATTTTTTACTTTCTTCATGTAATTACCTTTTTTGCACAATTGAAAGATTTGCACTTGATTTGTTCTTGATTTTTATTCATGCATATACATGCATGTCGCTTCTTATAAATGAATATATCGTTGAAAAAATACTTGATCATGACTTAATATGTACGATTTCTGTGATTATTTTCATTTTGAATATCAAAGATTTGAGGTAGCATAAGAGATGATTGCTAGATATGTCGTTACTAAATAAAAAAAAAATATTGTATAAGAATCACTAAGTAACATTTTATAGTCTGTTGAACTGGAACTGCATTAAATACTTTTAAAGTTAAGTAGCACATTTTGATTTTGCCGTTCTGATGTATGATCTGAGCAAAATCCAAATAATCATTAAACCACTTGTATTACTTTGTGTTTATAATTCAAAGCTGTGAATACACAATTGTGTTTTTAATACTTTAACCCTTCCTTTTCTCTTATTTTTACGTCTTTGCTATTTTAGCAACGTAAGTGCACAATTTGAATGATTAATACAACTTTACCTCAGGAATTTTTTACCTTCGCAAGCAGTTGCTAGTGGATTTTTCCTTCTGAGTATCCACATCTGGTGTTGTGTTCATACAATAATATTGAAATGCACGAAGATGTGTTAACATATCGTCATAACATATCTTCAACGATTGGTGCACCATCTCATGAAAATAATTAAGAAGCAAAAAATTGAAGAAAAACTTGGAAACTCAAAAAAGTTTACTTTACGAAAAGCAGCAAATAATTCAAATTACAAGTGCCCATTTTGAACTCTGATTGGTAAATAAGGCGGCTCAAGCTGTTTTTAAAGCAAAAACACAAATTATGAAGAAATATCTATACTGTAACTTTAAATGTTTCAGCGCTGAATCTTTGATGCTTCATAATAGCATGAATTAGATTTTAACAAGAATCAACCAACACTATAGTAAAACACTCTGGTAGATATATGAAATGGTTTAACCATTAAGTTACATTAAATCTAATGGATTTTACAGTTTGAAGTTATACATCAACAGTGAGTATTCATCAATCTCAGTACCAATATTTATAAAATTAACAATAGACACCACGGGGAGTTGCAGAATCATTTTTTCTGCAAAGCAGTCATTTCATCTGAAATAATTCATTTGGCCGCCATTTTTTGCATTATCGCCCCAGTCGACTTAGCCGTTCCAGTTATAGAACTCAATGGATTTTGTTATTTTACCATCATGTGCTAGTCAGTGAAAACTTTTCCTTTATAAAGAAATTTATTTTGTGTTTATTGATTGTAATAATAACAGTTTTCTATAAATATCATGTACAAATAATGATTCGATAATCACATACATGTGCCAAATATGCCAGCTATATCAGCGGCGTCGCCAGCTCAAAAAGGGCATGGCGGGGATTGTTTTGATATATATACAAGTTTTTCCTATTAACCTCGTTTAAAATCAACTGATTCTTACGGATTAAAACATGAATATAGGAATATTGTTGATGGCTACGCCACGGACTGTTCCTGTTTTTCCATACATACCGAGCAACGTACGCTCACTGAGTTTATTATGGTGCTGCTGTATATAGGGAAAGAACAATCAAATGTTATTCTTATTGCATACTCTAAAAATTAGAATTTTCAAACTTAATTTTCCAATAGATACTGATGCTTATTTGCTAAGCAATAAATTATACAAATGGAAATGTATAAAAGATCTATTTATTCTGTTGTATTTTAAGAAAGTTTTAAGAAAGAAGGTATATGCACATTTAATATAAACGACATGTTTTTTGAAAATAGACACGTTTCGCCATCTCATGATGCCATCTTCAGTATGAGTGAAATAATAGGTGATACAAGGTTTATGTAAAAGTAATATGATACATAAATTACAACAATAAAAAGTAAATAAGATAAATTAATTGGGAGCGTCCGAGCGTATTATTATAAATTAAATATTGTATTGAATTTAAAAACTTGAACATTGAGGTCAGGGTTAGTTTGTTAATGTGGAGTGCTTCTTTGGCTTTAAGGGTGAATGAGGTGTCGGCAGTGTCGATGATTTTGAAGCAAGAGGGTGAATAGTTGGTTTTAAAACCCAACCCGACACTGTCGACACTTCATTCACCCTTAAAATCAAAGAAGCACTCCACATTAACAAAACTAACCCTGACCTCCATGTTCAAGTTCTTAAATTCAATACAATATTTAGTTTATAATAATACGCTCGGACGCTCCCCCTTAATTTATCTTATTTCCTTTTTATTGTTATGATTTATGTATCATATTACTTTTACATAAACCTTGTATCACTATTATTTCACTCATACTGAAGATGGCATCATGAGATGTCGAAACATGTCTATTTTCAAAAAACTTGTTGTTTATATTAAATGTGCATTGGCAATAGTGCTTTTACGAAATTATGGAAAGAAGTTATATGTTATTGGACTTCTTTCAGCTAACTATTCATTTAGTTTGCATGCTATACCCATCAAAATTCCATGTGGATGACTGCATTCTTATTTTTTGTCGGCTTTCTGAATATTTTTTGTCAAAGTTGAGTTTCTTATAAGAAAGTTAGCCTTGGCCCATATTGTAAATACTTGTCCGTTGTCATTACAACGAGGGCGCAATAATTTTTTAACTTGTATTCTTTGCAAAAAACATTAAAATTTTTGAAGTCATGTGACCACTAATGAACAAATCCAATTAACTAACATACGTAGCACCTATAAAACATTGCATTTTACACTGACCAGCATCAAATTTATTTAGTGGACATGAACAACAAATTTCGAGCTGTTTCATTTAATTGGGTAGTGCCATGGATATTGAAGCCCAACATAAGCATTTTACATAGAAAATGTTACCATTTGAGACATTTAATGGATGTGAAATAGCTCAGATTTTTTAATATTCATTTCAAAACGTCGAAAAATAGCAATTATATAGGTTTTATAACATTCACTGTTCATAATAAAAATGTTCTTATTTACTCAATATCACTGAAATGATAATAAAACACGTTTTTACCAATGGTTTTTAACGTAGTATTTTTTAAATTTCATTTAAAGCAAGAAAAAACGTAAAAAATATTGTTGCATTAAAGGCAATGGGGGTTGATCTTTTGTTGGTAAAATATCATGCTTCTTATTAAATACGCATTTTTAATGGCAATATCAACTATGGTTAAATGCATCTGAGGTAACCAATTTTTATGGTTATTTTGACCAATCAGTTTTTACAGCGCAGGCTCTGACTATTGACCATAACTAATGTATATTTATACAATCGTACGTGATCATTAAATGATCGAGCATTGCTTACGACTAAAAAACACTACAATTATTAATCAAGCAAACTTGCAGGCTAGCAACGGTGCATTACAGCAGCCAGTCTCATTATCTAAAATTTCTGCAGCAACGGTGATTTACTGCAGCCAGTTGCTTTTTCTGACATTTCTGCAGCAACGGCTCATTACAGCAGCAGGTTGCGCATTCTGTAAATTCTACAGAAACGGGGCGCATCATAACAGGCAACTGCACTTTCAGATAATTCTAAGGATACAACGCATTACTGCAGCCAGTTGCACTGTAAGAGATTTCTGCAACTGCTACACATCCACAATCACTTGCACTGTTTATAAAGGAAATGTACGTAGCCTTTCTACATGCACTCTGTTGCTTTTTTGTTTGCAACAGCGCACCTTGCAGATAGTTTTTGTTAAAAATTAGCAAAGCTGGAAATTTTTAGAGTCTAGATTAAATCCACGTTTTTATTTCGTACCCGTTTTCATTAGATCTTCACTCGTTTTACTATGTTCAAAGTAACGTTATGTATGTCTTTAATAAAACTAAAATGAAAAGTTTCTATGATTTCTTTCCTGGTGCATCAATTTGTCTAATTTATCTAAGTTATCTTTTGAACATGTATGTTTGATGTAAGTTTATACTAAAAAATTGTTTTTCTATAAATTTGCACGTCCACAAGAGTATTATCATAATAATTTTGGTTGGCTACGGCTTCCTTTAACGTAATTCTCAAAAAATATATCTATCAGAAAATTTATCTACTCGATTTTATAAGCCTCATTCGAAAAGTTTCGTTTGCCAAATCAAAACAAAGAAATCATATCCTTTTTATCAAATTAAAAAAAAGCATCATACAGTTTATCATACACCGTGTTGCCTTATCTCCTCGTGATCGTTAAAACTAACTTGCATTAACTGACTTTGACAACTTATACTTTCCTGTGCTGACATTACAATTAGTATTTTTGGTGTTTACGTACGATTTTAAAAGTCTACTTAGAACTCTCTACACTGTACACATGCATGTTTTTGTTTTCTACAGCAAGGACAGAAATTTATTTCTCCGGATCTTTTTACCTCAAAATTTCAATTCATCATTATTACTTTACTCTCTATTGAGTTAAAAATCGCAATCATAAAAGCGGCATTTGCATCATTATTTGACATTTTAGTATAAATCTAAAACCTTATACCATATCAGCTAGAACAATTAATATTCTTTGAAATGAATTGCTTTCAACAAATTTTTTTCATGTTCATATGAAGATGACCCCCGCCTCCCCTCCCATAGTGTCTATCTTTCTTCGTTCATAAATCATTTTTAAGTTTTAACATTTTTTGAAACAGATTTTTCCTGTGGTTTGCTTATTGGTTGGTGCTTTTTCCATGACATTTATGCTGTTAAAGATGGACGACGAAGCTTTCCGTTCACTACCTTTGTCAGCTATGACGACATTAATAATGATGAATGGCGAAATTGAGTACAGAGAACAGTTCATGAGAAGCAATTCATCTCTTTTTATCATGCAATCTGCCCTTCTTCTTATCTTTTTTCTTGTCATGGGTGTTGTTGTCATGAATGTATTTATTGGTCTCGCAGTTGGTGATACAGATGAAATGATGAAAAGAAGCAGGATTGAGAAATATCTTCACAAGGTTAAATACTCCTACATTATTTATTTTACACGGAAAACTCTTAAATAAGAAAAAATAACTTTTAGTCGGATGGCTTTTCATATGACCATTTGAGGGGAGGCACTCAAAATTGTCATTATTTCATAATCCGTATAAAACGACGGATTGTAAAATAACTTAATGCGGCATCTCATTCACATCTGATTTTTGCCGTTTATATCCATGCATAGTGACAACCCGGGCACATTTTATGGGAGGGGGGGGGGGATTGTTGCCAAGTTGAGGAAAATCATGTAAATACAGCTATACGTAGTAATCGTCAAAGTAGAATCTAAGAAGAGAGACAATTGGCCACTGGCATAAAGTCGTCCAAAAACTCATCTTTAAAGATGGTATTGTTTAATTTGTGCGACTTAAAGCTGGAAAGGAAACTTAGAAAAACCAGTCCAATCAATAGACCCACTCCAAATGATTTACATTCCAAATGACTTACATAACCAACTGGAGAACCCATAAATTTCAATCCAAAAGCTAAAGAGTTCAAATGTAAAGGGAGAACAGCTTTTACAGCAAATGCAAAAATAAAGCTGGTTCAAAAGAATGAAGACGCTGAACTAGGAACAGTTAGTCGTAAATCTCGATAATATGTTGTATGTTAAGCTTTACTACAAATTAAAAAAAAATTCTTAATAAAAAATGCATCACTGAAAAGAATGCATATGGAAGGTAGGCGTTTTTAAAATGAATAGTCACATGGAATATTTGAGCCTATTTTCAAGTATAGTTGTTGTTATGATGCGCAAAATCATGTAGGTACAGATTTTGTAGTCTGTATATTTCATTAATAAATGAAACTATTACATTGTGTGGAAACGTTTAATAGAAAGGCAGATCCAACAAAGTAACCTATCACATTTTTTTTGTTAATAGTTCGTTAAAGCAATATTTTTTTGACTTTTGTACGACAATATTCCTCTCTTTCAAGCAGTTGAAGCTCCTTAGTTGTGAAAATTTCTTTCAACCTTTTTTAGGCTAGGATGTTCATTGAGTTTAACAAGACGTTAGCAAAATTGCCAAGACTGTTACGTCCAGAGCAGACGACTAAAGCAAAATTCGTTAAGCCTTTTAAAGGCCAAAAAATATTTGATGAAAATGGAATGGAGACAAAAATGAACGATTTAATATCCGAGACAACAAACTTAAAGAACAATGCAAAGAACCTTAGAAATAATGTATTGGACGCACAGAGTAATGTTAAGAAGCTGGAGAATATTGTAATGGACGTAAAGAGTGATGTTAAGTGTATGCACAACGAAATACAAGAATTAAAAGATAAAATCGTCTTGCTAACAACGATTCTGGCAGGAAATAAGCAAAGCCAAGGGTAGCTAAACCGAATATGGGAACATTAATTTATTTATTTTACCCATTGAATCTTACACGTTTTTCTTATTTTTTTGCATCTTAACATTTTCAATTAATGAACATTTGAAGTAAACCATGCACAATATTTTTCATTTTTACTTTTCAGTGACAGGCATGCTTTGACTTTACAATAAAGCATCTTTAAATGCGAATGATTATATGATTATGGATTTTCATTGTGAGATATATAAAATAGAAAGTGAAGTAAAATAAGTGAAATAAAAATGATACAGGTGAAGTAATACTTATAACTTAAAGCGTAAATTATTTATTGAAAATATCATTGGTTTTACGGAAGACTTGCACAGCTGAATATATTAAAGCCTTTCCCTACATGTCTGGTGTCTAGTGTCGCCCATGTTATAACTTTTTCTCACTGAACTGGGCACGCAGACGTTATTTGTAAGGTTGGGGTCTCTAACGCTAAACCATATTGCTTGCCACATTTTCCCAAGAGCTGTCCATGACATGCAGAATAAAAATTTAATACTAGTTATGAATCCCTAGAATTTTACGAAAAAATGAAATTTTTGTTGTACTGTGCGTGGAAAAGGAAGATGGGTAAAGGGTTAGAATCAACTGGCAGGGATTGAAAAATGAGCAATACCGCACTTACCCTACGTTTCCATGATGTGAAATTTGCAAAACAGTCCAGTAGTGTACACTTAATAGTTTTTGTAACAGAAAAGAGGAGATGCAATGTCTTTTTACACGTAGGCGATGTGTACAAAATACGATTTTCATACTCTTTAGTGCTAAAAAAACTTCAATTTTCAGGACTTTGAAATAGATATTTTCCTGATAATTATACAATCGGACTTCACAAGAAAGAGAAACACCTTCAGCAATTCATGACTTAAGTTTGAAAAATATCAGTTTTGCAAATGTAGAACGCTTCAATATAAAGTGCATGAAGACAGCTATCTTAAAGAAACCAGAGAGCATAATATAGATGTACATATATACTGGTCAAATGCTTCATTGAAAGGTACGTTGCGTAGTTTCACCAAATTTAAAGCAACTGATAATCAACCGAATATTTGGTTAACAATATATATTTAGTCATCACAGACAACAACTTAAATTGTTTTGAATGCTTTACTTTTCCTCTCTTTAAAGATATAAAGAAGGGACAAGTAAGACAAATTTGCTACATCTAAGGTATTTCCAGTCCTTACCATTGCGGAGGTTTCAACTCTACTGGTGTAAATTTCAATGTTGATATTGTTTTCAAAGTCCGGATCCAATTCATGAGCACTGTTGTCAGAGACTCTAAAGCTGCCGTCTTTTTCTCGTTGATGTTGATCAAGTGGAGCAACGGTTTTGTCATCTCAGTTGTTTTTGGAGAAAAATGAAGTAATTTTCTTGCTCTTACTTGCCTCTTTTTGGAAGTTTTTTTTCGTTTTCAGCTCTTCGCTTAGAAGCGTACGGCATTCTTTTTAAGACTGACTTCAACGCCAAATATACAAATGTTTTCCTGTTTTTGTTTATAAAACCCAGCATACTTTTCTGTCATTTGTTAATGCATGAAATCGTGAATTTACCCATCTATTTGCAAAATAGTTTCCTTAAAGCAAAGAAGACCCTGCACTCATTTTGCTCTGTGAGAAAGTATCAAAAATAAACGATCAGCCCAAACAGTACCCATGATTTGGAGCAGATCTTGTTATGTTCTAATTGCTGACAACATGCAGGGAAGATGAAGGAGTAAAGATGACTGGAAGATGTTATTGACCAGGCAGAGTCTTAAAAAAATGATAATGCTGTAAAGGTAATTGATTTATTGTTCGTATTACGATATATTTCAGCAGAGAAAACACTTTGAACATAAAATTAAGTTTTTATTACGATAAAAAAAACACAACGAACGTCGTGCGAACGTACACATGCGCTCACGATATAACCTTAAACATAGTTAATACTTCATAACAACGTAGTTAAGAATGTTGAGTGTAATTTACAACACTCCCACTCACTCAATATGTCATAATGTTTATACAAGTCCCAGTTTGCATCGCAGATATTCAAATTGTTCTCTTGGTAAGGGTTTAGTAAAAATATTTCCTTGGTTGGACAATACTTTATTTCGAGTGTTCCATCTTGAACATTCTCGCGCACGAAATGGTGTTTAATATCAATGTGCTTTGTCCGCTTGTGTATCACTGGATTCTTTAAGATAGCGATTGTACCTTGATTATCTTCATGTATGGTTGTAGCCGCAGTACAATCTATTTGTAGGTCTTTCATCAGTTGTCGAAGCCATACTAATTCTTGGGTTGCATAACATAAGCAATGTACTCCGATTCCGACGTTGAAAGAGCCACTGTTGGTTGTTTCTTGCCTGCCCAACGGATTGCACCACCTGACATTATAAACACATTTCCGGAAGTTGACCGTCGATCGTCTGTGTCAGAGGCCCAGTTTGCATCAGAGTATCCCTGTAAATCGAAACTGGCTTTTTGGTACTGCAGGCTTAGTTTACAAGTTCCTTTCAAATAACGAAAGATGCGTATCACAGCTGTAAGATGTGCTTCGTTCGGTGCTGTGTTGAATTTAGCTAATGTTGTTACTGCTTGAGCTATATCTGGACGGGTAGCAATTGCCGCGTATATCACACTTCCTACCATTGACTGATAATGAGAGGCATCGACTGATTTGCTGTGTCCATCTTCTTTAACAAGTTTGACGCTTACATCCATTGGCGTAGACATTGTCTTGCAGTCTTGTAATTTATACTTTTTCAGAATCTTGTTGATGTATTGCTCTTGATTAATTTGTAACACACCGTTCTTTGTAGTAATACTAACTCCTAGGCAGTAGTGGAGTACGCCCATATCTTTCATCTTGAATTGGTTTGCCAAATTGGCCTTTAGATCATTCATCTCTTCTTCAGTTTCAGTCGGAAGTATGAGGTCATCAACGTGAACAATGATAATCGCCTGCTTATCTTTGAGAAAACGAATAAATACGCAAGGGTCTCCTTCACTCTGAACAAATCCTAATGATAACATAAACTCTCTGAAAACCTTATTCCAGCAACGTGGACTTTGCTTTAGACCATAAAGCGATTTTTTGAGACGACACATAAGCTTTTCTTTTCCTGGTTTTACGTAGCCTTCGGGTTGTTGCATGTATATTTCTTCTTCCAATGTTCCATTGAGGAATACCGTTACTACATCCATTTGATGGATCAACATAACTCGAGATACACCAAAAGGCAGAAGAGTGCGAATTGACGAAAAACGAACCACTGGAGAGAATGTCTCTTCATAGTCAATTCCATATTTTTGCAGAAAACCCTTAGCCACCAGACGACCTTTAAATCTCTCTACCATTCCTGTCTCATCGTATTTCACTTTAAAGACCCACTTGCAACTGATAGGCTTACGTCCAGCTGGTAATTCGACTAATTAGCAGTTCTCATTCTCTAGTAAAGACTGGTATTCTGCATCTGCAGCAGCTTTCTATTTCGTTGCATATTCACTATTAAGAGCTTTTAGGGTTTCTGGCTGTGTGATCTCAGATACGTAAAGTGCTGCATACCTCGATGTAGTGATCCCAGCATACTCGTCGTGGTAATATACTGGTGGATTTCTCTCTTTTCCTGAGCGTCGAGGCTCATTTGGGGGATCTTGTTGTTCATTTCTTGTTGCACGAACTTGTCCCTTTATTTCTGTTTCTTCTTCAGCACACTGGGTAATATCTTCACCACACTTCATTTGAGCTTTTGTTGATCCAAAATCTGTTTCATTAAATGTAACGTCCCTCCGAATAAAGACTTTTTGTCGATTCTCATCATACAGCCTGTATCCTTTCTGTGTAAGGCTGTAACCAACAAATCTCATCTTGACTGCCTTTTGGTCGAATTTCTGGCGCACCGCATCCGGAACATGAGCATAAGCAATACAGCCGAAGACACGAAAATGGGACACATTTGGCTTCTTTCCATACCATCTTTCATACGGAGTTGCCGCAGTTGCAGTCGTAATTACTTGATTTCTTATGTAGGCTGCATAGCATACTGCTTCAGCCCAAAAAGCTTTGGACAGTTCAGCATGCAAAATCATAGAAAGAGTTGCTTCTTAGATTGTCCGATTCATGCGCTCAGCTATCCCGTTCTGCTGGGGTGAATGTGGCACTGTTGTCTCATGACAAATTCCCCTCTCCTTTAAAAAAATCTTCAAACTCAGTGGGTGTATATTCACCCCCCTTGTCCGTGCGTAGTGTCTTTATCCTACGCTCTCATTGGTTTGTGACTGCTGCCTGCCACTCCTTGAATTTTTTTCCAAGCACTTCTGATTTGTGCTTCATTGGATATACCGTAACACATCTGGAGTAATCATCAATGAAAGTGACAAAATATCTTGCACCTCCAAGGCTTTCAGTCTTCATAGGTCTGGCAACATCACTATGAACCAACTCCAATCTTTTGGTTGATTGAATATCTCCTACTGGCTTAAATGGTGTGCGTTGTGCCTTTCCTTCTGCACATGCCTCACAAAAGCTTGAATTGCAAGATTTAGGTATGTCCATACCTGTGATAAGTTGCTATGAAGCCATAGTTTTCATTTGACCGACATTTAGATGTGCCATTCTTTGGTGCCATAGATCAAGTTTAGTGCCACTTTTATTAGCAACTGATGCTTGGTTTTCCGGTTTGTCAACTTTACAATCAAGTTGATACATGTTCCCAACTAGTCGACCGCGTGCTACAGCTTGCCCATTGGAGTTCTTTATCCAACAGAGACTGTGTCCAAATTGAACCACTTTGCCTTTAGATGCTGCTGCACGTGCGCTAAAAAGATTTATAGCTATCTTTGGGACGTACAGTACCTTTGTCAAAATTGATTTCTGTTGATCTTTCTCTTTACGTCCAAGTATCATGGTGATGTCAACTTGTCCATACCCATAAGCATTCACATAACGACAGTCTCCAAGTGTAACAGGTTCTGGCTTTGGGAACTCGCAGTAATTTACCAAAATATCGCGACTAGCTGTCATATGTTGCGAGGCTCCTGAATCAATTATCCAACAATTGTTTCATTCTGTTGCTGTCATTCCTACGACAAACACATTACCTCCAGAGTTTTCATTTACGTTTCCATCACTACACACCAAAGCTGCTTTATGCTTTGATAAATTTCCCTGCTTGTTTCTATACTTATTCTCCCCTTTCTTCCTTTTGGGACAATTTTTGATCACATGGTTTTCTTCCCCACATCCATAGCATTTGATGGGCCTTCGATTGTTT